AGAACACAATCAGAGACGATCCAGGTATCAGCGCGCGTATCATTTGCAACGTGAGCAGTGTCTCTCGCCTTCTGAACACTCGCCATGGGATAACTGTTGCCGATGGTTCATTGCACAAATTACCGAGACGTTGTTTGTCTGTTCAGTCTTGTTGATGGTTGAAGCAACATTTGGAAGAGATGGAATAACAAATTTACACAACCGACATTTGTAGGCATCGGAATCCCCATGGTACAATATAGTCTAGACACCAGCATCAGTTTACGAATAATGTGTGGCCTGGAATTGTAGGGGACTATCTGGTAGGTCTATGTGTTCTCCCAGCACAACTTACAGGAGTTGTCTACAGGAATTTTATATCGAACACACTTCCAGACCTGCTAGAGGATGTACCCCTGCTAATGCGAATACGCACGTGGTTCATGCATGGTGGGGCTCCAGCACATTTTAGTCACACTGGCTGACATCTACCATGAAAGATGGCTAGGTAGGTGAGGACCTATTGTATAGCCTACATCTTCCCCCGATCTCAATCCTTTGGGGAGCAATCTAAAACAATTTGTTTATGCAGCAGACATTAATAGTGCAGAGACGCTTCAACAACGTACGATGGGGAGCCTTCGAAACCATTCGATTCGACACCGTGTGAGAGTATCTGAAAGAGTCCGCCAGTCAATGTTCCGACAGGTGCAAGCGGAGAACATTTTTGAACATTTGTTATGAACTGATGTGTTTAGGTACAACGATGGCTTTTTGGACATATGTCTATGTGGACATTTTACCTTGTTTTAGTATCAGGGACCGACCCCAAAGTTTTTAAAGGTATTTTTGAATTGTATCTTGGATTGTACAGCGTCTACAACAAACTTTAACGGTAACAACTCATAAACAAAAGATTTGCACACGTATGTATATATAGACTTTTGACCTTGTTTTCGTGTCAGGAAACCGGCCCCAATGTTTTTTAAATATATGATTGGTACACCTGGTGTGTATATATATATATATATATATATATATATATATATATATATATATATATATATATATATATATATATATATATATATATATATAAAGAATAATCACACATAGAATTAATCAGAAGTATTAATGCGATTATTGACGACATCCATCGCTAGAAAACATAATATATGCATTAAAATCCTGTTCATCCATAGTGCGAGTTTTGATCCTTGACGAAAAACTTGTTGTCTGTAGTTTTTCAGTTTATTTGATGTTAAAATGCTATATATATATATATATGGACAGAAGTCGACTGTAGTCAGTACGAATTTCACGATCCTTTCTTTAACTGCATAGTATATACTTCGCCAGGATTACATACCCTTTTAATTCAGAATAATTTTTCTTCTAGACTGATTTCCAATCAAGGCTACAGAGCCGAGACTACCCTACTATTTAACCCATGTTAATCTTTTGAATTAAGTGTCCTTTTTTTAGACCGTTTGCCACTCGAGGCTATAGGATCCAGTCTGTCCTGCTTTAAGAGATGGATTCATATCTTTCCAAAGTGTATTTGCACGTAACTGAATGTAACGAACTTGACTGGAATTCGATCTCAGTTCTCCGATTACTCAAACCGATCCGAATATAATCAGATAAACATATTTTATTTCAGGTAAATTTTGTGCAGATGGTGTATTGATGAGAGACCCGGAATGAGCATTCGCCGGGCTGAGTTCAATTTCAGCTCAGAGACCTTTCCTTTCCCTTTTTTTTTTAAAATCAATTCACCCCAGACATGGCGATAATGCTACTAAGACGCAAGGGGGTACTGGAAATGGAAGAGGATGAGAAGACTTTAGGAAGATCCGGAAACTCAATCCTGAACAGGGAGCAAGGGATAAACCGCTACTCCTGTCCAAAAAGCCGGGGAGTTGTGTGAATCGGACGATAGGCAAACCTATCTACTCCTACAGAGAAAAGAAAAAATTAAATAAATAGTGAATAAAATTTCAGAGTTATAGGCCGAGATGTTAGAAGTATAGAGTTGAAGTAGTCTTTCGGAGGAACCCGAAACCCAACGCTGAACAGGAAACAAGGCATAAACCTCTAATTCAATTAAAAAGGGAGTAGCAAAAACCAGACGATAGACGAACCTATCTGCTCCTATTAACATTCATTCCACACAAGTACCCGTGGAAAAAAATGAATCCATTTCATCTCCCCCAAACTTTGGGTTAAATAGCAGATGAGGCTGGGATCTCCAGCCGTGGTTGGCCACCAGTTTAGAAGAAGGACAACTCTGAATTCAAAGCAGTATGTATCATTTAGCATAGTTACAATATGTCAGTTTTTAGTTAGATGGCTTGCTTTTATGAACTGCATATGTTGGTTGACGGTGTACGAGTGACCTGTCATATTATTCCTAGTAAGACAATAGATATAAATTAAAAACAGATAACTAAAATCCTTGAGATATTTATTTTTCAGATCCAAATTAGTTGGGCAAAGTTTCGATGCCTTCTAGTCTGATATTGAGAAGCTAACATCTTCGCATCAAATACATCCATATAATTAAAATTAAAATTTATTTTGCTAAACGAACTAAAACAGGGTTTCCCAAGCTGGGCGATATCACCCACCGGTGGGCGATTTCAACTGCTGGGTGGGCAATATAGGATTTTGAGTATTAAAAAACATATGCTACTCCAAAATATATTCAAATGAGATATGTAAAAAACATGTACAAAAAAATGAGACTAAATGGGAATAACTAGGTCACATTCCTAGATAAGATATAAATATTTTCTATAGTTTTGAGAAGAGGGTCATTGACATTCAAATAGTTCTTCAGATGAAATAACATTTTTTTTTTCGAATATAAATCAGATAAGGGAAGTCCATGAATAACTTTGCTAGTAAAATTAAAAACTGACTTCAGGATAATTTTTATTTAATATAAAATTATTTTTATTTCTTTTATAAGATTGGCTATCTCAAAATCTATCAAGGTAAGAAAAGTACCCGTCAAAATAGAATTTACCCAGCATTGTATGCTTTTGAATATTTACTATACAGGTGGTCGATGGAAAATTTTTCCATGTGAAAATGGGTGATGACGTAAAAATGGTTTGGAACTCCTGATAAATTAGTTTATTTGATCTACCAACTAATACCAAGAATGAAATGTTTTCCTATAGCTTTAAGTGGGAGCGATAAGGATGTGGCTTGGTAACCTAGCGGACGGCAGCTAGAAAATGTTTGAGAGCCATTAGCATAGAGTAAGTTATCATATAATTTCTAGTAGGAAAAGTCAGATATAAGTAATTAAAAGCTTTTTGATACTTATTTTTCAGATCCAGATCAATCTAATAGTAGAGCAGAGTTTCAGTGCAGTCGTCCATTTTCCTTGCAAGCAAAGAACTGAAATTTACTGAACGTTAGGATGTAGAAAAACTTCTATTCAGTGCCTTCCATCCTGATGTTGAGAATTTGATATCCATACACTAAGTATTTTCAATATATTTTTTGACTGTTGCCTCCATCTTTGTTGCTTTTAACAAAGATGTCTGTCTTCTTCAGTAGTATTTTAAACACAACTGCCTTTAGAATTATGAAGGATGTTATATGCACTTGAAGAAGGTTGATGAATCTTTCAACCAAAAAAAAGTGAGTAGTAACAGCCGAAGTGGGCATTAGAACCAATTTTTTGCGTCATATTTAGTAGAGAGGGATTTTTGGTGGAATCGTCCAGTTACTTTCCAAGTAAAGAAACAAAAAGAAATATTACTGAACGCAGTAATCTAAGACTTTTCTTCAGTGCCTTCCAACATGGTGTTGAGAAGCGTATGTACCTGCATCAAAAACATCCCTCCCATTAAAACTATAAATTCACCCTTTCATGTTTCTAAACCAGCTAAAAAACAAATTGGTTTGGTAACCTAGCAAGTGACAACTAGAAAATTTGGGGGAACCACCGACATATAGTAAGCTATCATATAATTTCTACGGGCACCTCGAGTTGGTGTAATGGTTAGCAAACTTGTCTCGATCCTCACTGGGTGCCCCTTACATTCGGCCTTGTGCCACATCCAAGCTACGCTTGGAAAATCACTATGGAGGGCATCTCGATGTGGTGTAATGGTTAGAAAGCTTGTCTTGCTAGATCAATTACGACTGAGTAGTGAGTTCGATCCTCACTGGGTGCCCCATACTTTCGGCCTTGTGCCACATCTAAGCCGGGCTTAGAAAATCACTATCATATAATTTCTAGTAGAATAATAACTATAGATCAAAGATAAGTAATTAAAAGCCTTTTGATACTTATTTTTCAGATCGAAATCAATCTAACATATTATTTAATAGATCAAATAGCCAGTGATTTTTATTTAAAGACTTTTCTTCAGTACCTTTCAACCTAATGTTGAGAAGCTTCTGTCCTTGCATAAAAAAAAAATCTATCCCATTAAAACTATAAATTCACCCTCTCATGTTTCTAAACCAGCTAAACAAATTTGTTTACTTCGTTAACTTTTTTCTTTTTTTTTTTTTTTTTTGTGAAATGCAAATTTGTGTTTGCAATGTCAGATTTGTTGTTGCTTTGAATTTGCAATCTACCACCTACTACCAAGTAAAAATGGTTTTCCTATGGGTGCAGAAGTATGAGCGATAAGGATGTGGTTTGGTAACCTAGCGATTGTCAGCTGGAAAATGTTTGGGAACGGCCAGCATAGAATAACCTATCATATTATTTTTAGTAGGAACCATAAGTCAAAGACAAGTAACTAAAAGCCTTTTGATACTTATTTTTCAGATCCAGATCAATTTAACATATTATTTAGTAGAGCGGAGTTTCAATGGAGTCGTCCATTTTCTTTCCAAGCAAAGAAACAGGCTGAAACACTACTAAACGTTAGGATGTAGAAAAACTTCTATTCAATGCCTTCCAACCTGATAGTGAGAAGCGAACATCCCTGCACCAAGTCCATCCATCTAATTAAAACTAAATTAAAACGTTTGCTTTGCTAAATCAACTAAAAGAGTTGGTTTATTTGGTCATCAAAAACGGTCACAGTTGTGTCTTTAATGAAATGCATGTGGGTGTTTACAGCGAAAAGAGTGTCTTTATATGGATGCGAGAGGAGGTGGCGATGGACATATGACCCGGGAGGCAACGAGGCAGTAGCTACAAAAACTTCGGGAACTAGCAATCTATCGGATTTAAAAACAAAAATTCTTTCACTTCCTGGACATTATTGAGATGACAGATTTTCAAATAATTTCACAAGTGTCTACGCGGCCTTGTGGGTGATGAATTATTTTACACCCTACAACCGCTTTCCAATAGGAAAAACGTTGCTAGCCTCTCGCTACTCGGTCGCTATTTCCACTGTGCTTCCTAAGTCAGTTATGTGCCATGTGTGATACACGCTTAGGCGATCATGTATCTTTCGATACATGACTGACGAGGCAGATTTTTCTCGCAGTAGGCTGCCATTTCTTTCTGTGGTAGACCAGTTGCTATCCAAGGCTATAGAATCCGGTCTGTCCTGCTATTTACCCGTAGCTGGGGGAGAAGAAGAGGATTCATACCTTTCCCAAGGGTATTAGCACGTTAGTGAATGTAATGGATTCGACTGTGTTTCCAAAGTTATGCTTCATGCGTGATACACGCTTAAGCGAATATGTATCTTTCGATACATGACTGACGAGGCAGATTCTTCCCGCAGTAGGTTGCCAATTCTTTTTGCGGTTGACCAGTTACCCTCCAAGTCTATAAAACCCGGTCTGTCCTGCTACTTACCCATAGCTGAAGGATAAAGAAGAGGATTCATACCTTTCCCAGTTCGTCTGAAGATGAAGCATTTTTCACAAAATAATTATTTAGGAGTCGATGGGAGATCAAGGGTTCCATGAAGTGGTCAATGTTCTAAAACGTTTTGGGGCCCCTGATCTGCACTCTACTTGCAACTAGGCACCGTACAAGCGTGAGTACATGTCAAGTTTTGAAAATCGATCAGGGAACAATTTCATTGCTTTGAAGTTCGGGCATCAGAAAAAAAAAGGCTACGGGCAATTGTTAGAGTTCAGACATTGAAAATCTTCATCAGCTGCTGCCAGTAAATGATGAAGACAACATATGTAATAATAAATTATGAAAAACTGTGCAGTGACTTCAGCAGGTGAAACTAAAAATGAGATTTCAGCAGAAGGTCGTCAGCAGAGAGTAGCCGATTGTCTCGTTTCTGGTACGATTATAGGCATAGATCAAAGAAAAACAATTAAAAGCCTTTTGATATATTTTCACACCTTTTATTCAAATCCACGTCAGTCTCACATCGACAGAATTAAATAAGAATTAGCCCGTACACTCGTATATAAGACGACTTTTAACAACAAATTTTAAAGAGTGTAAAAGCAATTTTATTTTCTTTAGATATGAAAATAAATCATGAGGTTAAATACTCGTGTATAAGTCTAATTGTACAGTCATTATCTGAAAAAAATCACTGAACATGCTTTTGATAGTCTTACACTTTTTATGCAGATCCACGTGAGTCGGACATCAGCAGAATTAACTACGAATTTGCCTGTACATTCATGTATAAGTCGACATTTTAGGATTAAATCTTTAGATTCCAAAAGAATTTTTTTTTTATTTTAGACATGAAAAGAAATTACCATTAGCGTAAATACCCGTGTATAAGTCGAATTACAGGATAATTTCCTATAAATTGGTTTCGTTGAAATCTAGTAACAGAAAAGATACTTTTTAGCAATTTTATATTTAACGCTGAATATGCAAATTAATTATCCCGTTTAAGGAAAAGAACCACTAGGTTGGACAAGATATAAGACACAGGCTGGTTGATATAAATTATAAAACAGCATTTATGCTTTTGAGCGGGCACACAGATAAACTTTTAGCTTTTTATATAGAGTTTCCTAATCATATCATTTATCGTATATGAGTAACCATATATCCCGAAAATAATTAAATGCCTTTCAATATAGCCTAAATACTTGTGCATAAGTCGAATTGCAGGCATATCTCTTATAAATTGGTTTCGTTGAAATCTAGTAACAGAACAGCTACTTTTAACAATGTTATATTTAACGCTAAATGTACCAATTATCTTGTTGAAGCAAAAAAATGCGAAGTTGGGAAAGATATAAGACATTTACTGGCAGATATAAATTATAAAAACCGTATTTATTTGAAGCCATATTTTTAATTCGTTTTCAGGTTTTTGAGCGGATACATAGACAAACTTTCGGCTTTTTATATGGAGGTTCATAGTTTTGGTTTCTTAATCATATCATTTATCGTATCTGAATATCCATATATCTAGAGAGAATAATTGAATCCCTTTCAGTATAGCCTAAATACTCGTGTATAAGTCGAATTACATCCTAATCTCCCATGAATTAGTTTTGTTGAAATCTAGACGTTATATTTTATTAAAGAGAAAAACAAATAATCGATTTGGGCATTAATTTTCTCTGCAGTTTACTTGGTTATCTTGTTTCTGATCTGCACACGCGCCTTTACAGAGTCAGATAATTTGTAGATAGAAGTGTTTTTGCATTGGTCGGAAAGTAGGGGTGGAAGTAAGGGTGACAGTAGGGGGGGGTGAAAGTAGGAGTGAGAGTAGGGGCGAAAGTAGGAGTGATAGTAGGGGCGAAAGTAGGAGTGATAGTAGGGGCGAAAGTAGAGGTGACAGTAGAGGTGAAAGTAGGAGTTATAGTAGGGGTCAAAGTAAGAGTGATAGTAGGGGTGAAAGTAGGGAAGAAATTAGGGGTGCCAGTCGTGGTGAAAGTAAGTGTGACACTAGGGGTGAAATTAGGAGTGACAGTAGAGGTGAAAGTAGGAGTGATAGTAGGGGTGACAGTAGGGGTGACAGGAGAGGTGAGAGTAGAGCTAATACTAGTGATGAAAGTAGGAGTGACAGTAGGAGCGAAAGTAGGAGTGACAGTATGGGTGACAGGAGAGGTGAGTGTAAGTGTGATACTAGGGTTGAAAGTAGGAGTGACAATATGGGTGAAAGTAGGATTGACAGTATGGGTGAAAATTGGAGTGACAGGAGAGGTAAGAGTAAGGGTGATACTAGGAGTGAAAGTAGGAGTGACAGTAGGGGTGAAAATTGGAGTGACAGGAGAGGTGAGTGTAAGGGTGATACTAGGAGTGAAAGTAGGAGTGACAGTAGGGGTCAAAGTAGGAGTGACAGTAGGGGTGAAAATTGTAGTGACAGAAGAGGTGTCAGTAAGGGTGATACTAGGAGTGAAAGTAGGAGTGAAAGTAGGAGTGACAGTAGGGGTGAAAGTAGGAGTGACAGTAGGGGTGAAAGTAGAAGTGACAGTAAGGGTGAAAATTGGAGTGACAGGAGAGGTGAGAGTAAGGGTGATACTAGGAGTGAAAGTAGGAGTGACAGTAGGGGTGAAAATTTGTGTGACAGGAGAGGTGAGAGTAAGGGTGATACTAGGAGTGAAAGTAGGAGTGACAGTAGGGGTGAAAGTAGGAGTGACAGAAGGGGTGAAAGTAAGAGTATTTTTGAGTTATACTGTAAGTTAAGTGGATGAAAATTAATACAAAAACCTTTGCGACAAAACTGAAACCTAGCAATCTTTTTTTATCATAACTAGTAGGACACTAAGCACAGATCAAAGACAAATGATTAAAAGTCTTTTTAATATTTCACCAATTAATATTCTAAGCCATGATAGACTGATATTATAGTTTACACCGAATAAAACGATGTGCCAGCAGCTGCTGAGAGTTGACACTATTGACACGGCTTATCATTTTCTATACAGAGTCGCAGCAAACATCAGATTTCGGTAAAATAATTGAAAAACCATTTCATTATATTCACACCAAATATTCTTTCCCACATGAGCCTGGTATTATTTTTTATATAAATACACGAGGTACTAACAGCTGTGGAATGTTGGTACTATTACTTCGAGAAGACATGTCTGATTCTAACAAGAGGAAAGCAAATTATGGTTAGTATATGTTAAAACTTTAATTTGTTTAATGAAATGTGTTTTATATGCCATAAAATACGCTGCTTTTTACTAATTCTTTTTGATTTTCTAAATTGGGGTCGGCTTATACATGGGACACGTGAGAAATTGTTTTTTAACAAAAAACAAAAATCAACTCATACACAAGCACATAAGATAAGGATAAAATAATATACAATATATATCAGAAATTATTTCTTGGGGAAAATACAAACATCGACTTATATACGAGTACATACGGTAAAATATATATATATTTCAGAAAGCATAACAGAAATTATTTCTTAGCAAAAATAAATCGACTTATATACCTATACATACGGTATAGATTTTTAAAAAAAAAAACAATAGGCAAACGATGTCAGAAATATTTTTTTGGTAAAACAACTAAAGTCGACTTTTACACAAGTACTTACGGTTCAGATTTTTTAAAAATGCATAAAGCATATAAGAATTTATTTCTTGTCAAAGAATCAAAAATCGACTTGTACATAAGTATATACGATACGGATCAAAAGCACTACACAAAGCATGTCAGAAATTATTTCTAAGCAAAACCCAAAATAGACAGATACAAAACAATGCACAAATTATGTTCGAAATTATTTATTGGATCAAAAATAGGCTTATATGCGACATTAATAAAAACATAATTTGTGTTAGAAATTATTTCCTAGAAAAAAATCGACTGATACACAAGTACAAACTGTGCAGCTCGAATATAGTACATTACTACAGAAATTATTTCTTGACAAAAATCGATCGAAAATTATTTACGGTACGAATCGAAAACACTACACAAAGCACATCAGAAATTATTTTAAAAATCGATTTGGAAGTTTATGCAATACGACCATACTTTTTTAGTTTCAAGTGTAAATCAAGGAAAGGATTTTCATAATTTATATTTAGTGTTTTCTAAATATGAGGCATTTTTTACGGGAAAAAACGAATAAAGTAATTCTTACTCTGATAATATCAAAGAAATAGGGCAAAGAAAAGCAAAAAAAAAATCAATTATGACAAATCTTTTACGCATCGAATGTGTGATCTTTATAAATTCGTGTAGCTTTCAAGTTTAGTTAAAAAAAATAAATAAAATGATGACGTTTTCTCGCCCTTAAGAAATGTGTAAATGCTCACATTCGACAAGACGAACGAATTAATTCAATTTCACCTCAGTTAAAATAATAAAAATGTTTTCAACCAAGAACGAGGTTTCCCATTGAAAATTGCTGGTCGATGGCTTGCAGACGATCTATTCACCAGTGACATTGACGACAGAATTAAGTTTTGCTTGTGTTACAATCTTTTATACCGCTTCCGATTGAAGCAAGAGAAAAGCAACGTGTTTATTTATTTTCATCATTTTACGCCACAAGGTACGTATGAAGTGATAATAATGACACTGAATGAAAATTAATATGACCAGAGGCGAAAGAATTGTTAATCCCAGCATTCATGTCCACACACCAGAGAAATGACCATCAATAGGGAGTCCCGCGGGACAAAGTCCGCTTCAGCAGGTTTTCATAAAAGTGTTGAAAAAATCTTTCGCGAAGAATGTTTCACAGAAACGGCATCAATCAAAACATGTTCGTGTGAATAATTCTTTAATTTTCAAGTTGCCAAATAACTTTACGCATATAACCTTCGAAATCAATACTTCCCTTCGCTAGTGGCTTACTTGCGTGCATTTGGAATAAATCTCTGTCTACAGAGATTTTAAACATTACTACGAAACAGGAAAATTTCGTTAGAAACAAAGAAAATTGTTCTGGCATTACAACGAAACAGGAAAATTTATTTGGAAACAGACAATAGCGATGGATTGCTATGGAATATCACTCCTTCTATATGACAGTGAAAGCTGGGCTCTTGCCACACATATGAAGAGGAGACTTGAGGCTACAGAGATGTGGTTCTATATAAGGATGCTGAGAATATAAAGAAAAGAGTGCTTAACTGCTATGTAATATCAATCCTCTTATATGGCAGTGAATGCTAGACAATCTCCTCACAGATGAAGAGGAGACTTGAGGCTACAGAGATGTGGTTCTATAGAAGGATGCTGAGAATACAAAGAAAAGAGTGCTTAAATGCTATGTAATATCAATCCTCCTATATGGCAGTGAATGATGGATAATCTCCTCACAGATGAAGAGGAGACTTGAGGCTACAGAGATGTGGTTCTATAGAAGGATGCTGAGAATACAAAGAAAAGAGTGCTTAACTGCTATGTAATATCAATCCTCCTATATGGCAGTGAATACTGGACAATCTCCTCACAGATGAAGAAGAGGCCTAAGGCTACAGGGATGTGGTTTTATATAAGGATGCAGAGAATAAAAGAAAATAGTGCTTAACTGCTATGTAATATCAATCCTCCTATATGGCAGTGAATGATGGACAATTTCCTCACAGATGAAGAGGAGACTTGAGGCTACAGAGATGTGGTTCTATAGAAGTATGCTGAGAATATAAAGAAAAGAGTGCTTAACTGCTATGTAATATCCATCCTCCTATATGGCAGTGAATGCTGGACAATCTCCTCACAGATGAAGAGGAGACTTGAGGCTACAGAGATGTTGTTCTATAGAAGGATGCTGAGAATACAAAAGAAAAAGTAACTTAAATGCTATGTAATATCAATCCTCCTATATGGCAGTGAATGATGGATAATCTCCTCACAGATGAAGAGGAAACTTGAGGTTACAGAGATGTGGTTCTATAGAAGGATGCTGAGAATACAAAGAAAAGAGTGCTTAACTGCTATGTAATATCAATCCTCCTATATGGCAGTGAATGCTGGACAATCTCCTCACAGATGAAGAAGAGGCCTAAGGCTACAGGGATGTGGTTTTATATAAGGATGCAGAGAATAAAAGAAAATAGTGCTTAACTGCTATGTAATATCAATCCTCCTATATGGCAGTGAATGATGGACAATTTCCTCACAGATGAAGAGGAGGCCTAAGGCTACAGGGATGTGGCTTTATAGAAGGATGCTGAGAATACAAAGAAAAGTGTGCTTAACTGCTATGTAATATCAATCCTCCTATATGGCAGTGAATGCTGGACAATCTCCTCACAGATGAAGAGGAGACTTGAGGCTACAGAGATGTGGTTCTATAGAAGGATGCTGAGAATACAAAGAAAAGAGTGCTTAACTGCTATGTAATATCAATCCTCCTATATGGCAGTGAATGCTGGACAATCTCCTCACAGATGAAGAGGAGACTTGAGGCTACAGAGATGTGGTTCTATAGAAGTATGCTGAGAATATAAAAAAAAGAGTGAACTGCTATGTAATATCCATCCTCCTATATGGCAGTGAATGCTGGACAATCTCCTCACAGATGAAGAGGAGACTTGAGGCTACAGAGATGTTGTTCTATAGAAGGATGCTGAGAATACAAAGAAAAGAGTGCTTAAATGCTATGTAATATCAATCCTCCTATATGGCAGTGAATGATGGATAATCTCCTCAGATGAAGAGGAAACTTGAGGTTACAGAGATGTGGTTCTATAGAAGGATGCTGAGAATACAAAGAAAAGAGTGTTTAACTGCTATGTAATATCAATCCTCCTATATGGCAGTGAATGCTGGACAATCTCCTCACAGATGAAGAAGAGGCCTAAGGCTACAGGGATGTGGTTTTATATAAGGATGCAGAGAATAAAAGAAAATAGTGCTTAACTGCTATGTAATATCAATCCTCCTATATGGCAGTGAATGATGGACAATTTCCTCACAGATGAAGAGGAGGCCTAAGGCTAAGGATGTGGCTTTATAGAAGGATGCTGAGAATACAAAGAAAAGTGTGCTTAACTGCTATGTAATATCAATCCTCCTATATGGCAGTGAATGCTGGACAATCTCCTCACAGATGAAGAGGAGACTTGAGGCTACAGAGATGTGGTTCTATAGAAGGATGCTGAGAATACAAAGAAAAGAGTGCTTAACTGCTATATAATATCAATCCTCCTATATGGCAGTGAATGATGGACAATCTCCTCACAGATGAAGAGGAGACTTGAGGCTACAGAGATGTGGTTCTATAGAAGCATGCTGAGAATACAAAGAAAAGAGTGCTTAACTGCTATGTAATATCAATCCTCCTATATGGCAGTGAATGATGGACAATCTCCTCACAGATGAAGAGGAGACTTGAGGCTACAGAGATGTGGTTCTATAGAAGGATGCTGAGAATATAAAGAAAAGTGTGCTTAACTGCTATGTAATATCCATCCTCCTATATGGCAGAGGATGCTGGACAATCTCCTCACAGATGAAGAAGAGACTTGAAGCTACAGAGATGTGGTTCTATAGAAGCATGCTGAGAATACAAAGAAAAGAGTGCTTAACTGCTATGTAATATCAATCCTCCTATATGGCAGTGAATGATGGACAATCTCCTCACAGATGAAGAGGAGACTTGAGGCTACAGAGATGTGGTTCTATAGAAGGATGCTGAGAATACAAAGAAAAGAGTGCTTAACTGCTATGTAATATCAATCCTCCTATATGGCAGTGAATGCTGGACAATCTCCTCACAGATGAAGAGGAGACTTGAGGCTACAGAGATGTGGTTCTATAGAAGTATGCTGAGAATACAAAGAAAAAGAGTGCTTAACTGCTATGTAATATCCATCCTCCTATATGGCAGTGAATGCTGGACAATCTCCTCACAGATGAAGAGGAGACTTGAGGCTACAGAGATGTGGTTCTATAGAAGTATGCTGAGAATATAAAGAAAAGAGTGCTTAACTGCTATGTAATATCCATCCTCCTATATGGCAGTGAATGCTGGACAATCTCCTCACAGATGAAGAGGAGACTTGAGGCTACAGAGATGTTGTTCTATAGAAGGATGCTGAGAATACAAAGAAAAGAGTGCTTAAATGCTATGTAATATCAATCCTCCTATATGGCAGTGAATGATGGATAATCTCCTCACAGATGAAGAGGAGACTTGAGGCTACAGAGATGTGGTTCTATAGAAGGATGCTGAGAATACAAAGAAAAGAGTGCTTAACTGCTATGTAATATCAATCCTCCTATATGGCAGTGAATGCTGGACAATCTCCTCACAGATGAAGAAGAGGCCTAAGGCTACAGGGATGTGGTTTTATATAAGGATGCAGAGAATAAAAGAAAATAGTGCTTAACTGCTATGTAATATCAATCCTCCTATATGGCAGTGAATGATGGACAATTTCCTCACAGATGAAGAGGAGGCCTAAGGCTACAGGGATGTGGCTTTATAGAAGGATGCTGAGAATATAAAGAAAAGTGTGCTTAACTGCTATGTAATATCCATCCTCCTATATGGCAGTGGATGCTGGACAATCTCCTCACAGATGAAGAAGAGACTTGAAGCTACAGAGATGTGGTTCTATAGAAGCATGCTGAGAATACAAAGAAAAGAGTGCCTAACTGCTATGTAATATCAATCCTCCTATATGGCAGTGAATGATGGACAATCTCCTCACAGATGAAGAGGAGACTTGAGGCTACAGAGATGTGGTTCTATAGAAGGATGCTGAGAATGCAAAGAAAAGAGTGCCTAACTGCTATGTAATATCAATCCTCCTATATGGCAGTGAATGCTAGACAATCTCCTCACAGATGAAGAGGAGACTTGAGGCTACAGAGATGTGGTTCTATAGAAGGATGCTGAGAATACAAAGAAAAGAGTGCTTAACTGCTATGTAATATCAATCCTCCTATATGGCAGTGAATGCTGGACAATCTCCTCACAGATGAAGAGGAGACTTGAGGCTACAGAGATGTGGTTCTATAGAAGTATGCTGAGAATATAAAGAAAAGAGTGCTTAACTGCTATGTAATATCCATCCTCCTATATGGCAGTGAATGCTGGACAATCTCCTCACAGATGAAGAGGAGACTTGAGGCTACAGAGATGTGGTTCTATAGAAGTATGCTGAGAATATAAAGAAAAGAGTGCTTAACTGCTATGTAATATCCATCCTCCTATATGGCAGTGAATGATGGACAATCTCCTCATAGATGAAGAGGAGACTTGAGGCTACAGAGATGTGGTTCTATAGAAGGATGCTGAGAATGCAAAGAAAAGAGTGCCTAACTGCTATGTAATATCCATCCTCCTATATGGCAGTGGATGCTGGACAATCTCCTCACAGATGAAGAAGAGACTTGAAGCTACAGAGATGTGGTTCTATAGAAGCATGCTGAGAATACAAAGAAAAGAGTGCCTAACTGCTATGTAATATCAATCCTCCTATATGGCAGTGAATGATGGACAATCTCCTCACAGATGAAGAGGAGACTTGAGGCTACAGAGATGTGGTTCTATAGAAGGATGCTGAGAATACAAAAAGAAAACTGTTTAACTGCTATGTAATATCAATCCTCCTATATGGCAGTGAATGATGGACAATCTCCCTCACAGATGAAGAGGAGACTTGAGGCTACAGAGATGTGGTTCTATAGAAGGATGCTGAGAATACAAAGAATAGACTGCTTAACTGCTATGTAATATCAATCCTCCTATGTGGCAGTGAATGCTGGACAATCTCCTCACAGATGAAGAGGAGACTTGAGGCTACAGAGATGTGGTTCTATAGAAGGATGCTGAGAATGCAAAGAAAAGAGTGCTTAACTGCTATGTAATATCAATCCTCCTATATGGCAGTGAATGCTGAACAATCTCCTCACAGATGAAGAGGAGACTTGAGGCTACAGAGATGTGGTTCTATAGAAGGATGCTGAGAATGCAAAGAAAAGAGTGCCTAACTGCTATGTAATATCCATCCTCCTATATGGCAGTGGATGCTGGACAATCTTCTCACAGATGAAGAGGAGGCTTGAGGCAAAAAAGCATTGACGGAACAACTGAACAACGAGATTTTAAGGCAAATTGGAACCAAATGTATATTTGTGCTTAGGATTAGAAAGAGACATTTAAAATTTCTATACGTATAATGAGGGAAGAAGACTTGGAGAATTTACACTCATAAGACAGCACTGTACCAGATTAAGCCTAGCCAGGTTTTCCAAATATTTTGTTGCCTCAAGAGTAGGAAGGCAGCAACATATCTGTCGAGCTTGTCTAGTTATCTAGTTTAGCGATCTAGTTTAACATGAAATTAATAGTGGGTAGTGAAATTGATATTTACTCAGGTTGAATAACATTTAGATAAAAGTAATGGCACTGGCAAAAAGATTGAAATAGATAAGGGGAAGAATGAGAAGATACAGATAAAGAATGAGAGATGAGCAGGGTCATAAGATAATGGATAATTATAGTTGTCAAATCCAGTGGAAAATTCAATGGGTCCCACAAGTGGGATGAGGGAAATAATGAATGAAATAATGGATAATCTTAATTTTCAACCTCCATGGAATTTCCATATATCTCCAGCTCGTGGGATAAGGGGAGAGAATAAGAAGATACAGGCAAAGAGTTAGAGAAGAGGCGAGACATGAAATAATGGATAATCTTAATTTTCAACCTCCGTGGAATTTCCATATGTCCAGCTCCTGGGATAAGGGGAGAGAATAAGAAGATACAGGCAAAGGGTTATAGAAGAGGCGAGTCATGAAATAATGGATAATCTTATTTTTCAGTCTCCGATCAAAATGTTGTTCTACCGTCGAATAGTGTGAAATACCATGGGCATAACATGTGAGCAACGAGGAAGTTTTAGAGGAAATAGAAACAACATGCAACCAGAAAATGACAGTAGAAATTAAAGGGGAAAGGTTAACAAAGCACTGCCAAGTTCTCCAAATCAGGCTCGGTCAATTCCGGCCAGTCGTTTGAGGGATGTAAACGATAGATAGATAGATAGATAGATAGATAGATAGATAGATAGATATGAATGATGCAAAATTCTCAAGCCATAACTTTTTCTCACAAAAACGATGCCAACACGAAATGCGTTTGTGTTCATCTTCACCCGACAAATAACCACTACCTAACAGCAAAATTGTCCAAATCGTGTAACAGTATAATTGTCAATCCCACTGTTTAATATCTAAAAAAAAAAACACTAAACAAATTAAGTTTCTTTTTTCCACGTTTTCAGATAAGACGTTTAGCCATCTTGACACCATTTGCCGGAAGAATCACCGAAAAACCCTTTGAGGTATTCAGCTAGAAAGAGAACAGGTTAAAATCATTTTGTGTCAGCCCATTTACGTTTTCCCAACTGAGCGATGGTGAGAGGAAAAAGATCATTCAGACGTTCAGCAATGGTACGAACATTCATACTCTGGCTTCCATCTTCAAAGTCCATTCAAGGGTCATCAAGGGAACGGTGAATAAGTTTTTAAAAAGAGGGAACAGTGGAGAGGAAAACTGGATCGGGAAGTCACAACAGGAAGTGGGATCATCATTTCAACTTAGAGCTAAAGATCAAGTAGAAAAGATCCAACTCAATCCATAAGATGTTTGTCACGTGAGAGAGGAGTTTCAGCTATGACAGTCCAAAGAGCAGTGAAAAAAGACTTGAAAATAAAATCGTATGTGAAACCTCCAGGAAAGCAACGTACTGTGACTTCTCTTGTTTTCCACTGGCTTGAAACGATTATATTGAATCATCTGCTAAGTCTGTTACTACTAAAGTTTGTTTACTGTGTCACGCAAGACAATTTTTCTCACTAGGATCTATCTTGCTCATTTATTCGTCTCCGCATCGAATATAACTGTCACATTTGACTTGGTGCTTCCGGTATGTTTAGAAATTTTTGAATTTCCCATCGCCGTAACGTTGCGTCTCTATATTATTCCTCTTTTGTACCTAGACTTTAGGAATTTAAGCGCAGTACTAGATTGGCAGATAGGTCTCATCATTTGACTTAAAATTTCTACTTGTAACCATACGCTCTATCGTAATTGTTTTCCCCTGCACTTCTCGCATGTGGAACTCTCTTTCAGCTTCCTGTTTTCTGTCAACTACGATCTTCAAAAATTTAAATGCAATGTCTGTAGTCATCTTCTGTCGCTTTGGTACCTATTCTTTCCTTCTTTTTTCTTTTTTTTTCCACTCTGAATAACCCCTTACATCTTAGCGGCTTTCACCGCCTTTCTTGGGGTGAAATGATTAAAAAAAGAAAACTGATCCCTCACTTCATGTCCAGTACAGTCTTATATTAACACTAGTTTAACCATCCTTTGAAAATGATGTTTTGTTAAGTTTGGGTGATTATTAAGTTTTCACAATTATGGGGAATTAGTTTATTAGCCATGAACGTTAGAACTGATGAGACAGGGAGACAGTTTATTACTTGATAATAATAGAAAACTCACCCCTCACTTTATATCCAGTATAATCTTATATTAATACTGGTTTCATCATACTGTCAAAATGATATCATGTTTTGTTAAGTTCGGGTGATTATTAAGTTTTCACAATTATGGGATATCAGTTTATTAGCCATGAAGGTTAGAACTGATGTGACAAGGAAATATAATCAATCTGAACACTTTCCACGGAGAAAGTTTTTTTTCTTTTCTTTTCCGGCTTCTTACTTTTGTGTCATCTACAATTTTCAAAGATTCAGATGCAATGTCAATCGTTACCATCTGTTTCATTGAATCCTGTTCTCTTATTGCCTTTTCTGTTTCTTTTACTCTGAATAACCGCTTACATCTTAATGGCTTTTTTTATCGTCTTTCTCGGGGTAAAAGGATTAAAATAAAATATGGTAATGAATAGTGGCCAATTTTCGCACAGATGAAAAGAAAACTTGAGACAAAAAATAAGAATATAATAGACGGAGCGAGGATGTTTTTTGTTGAGGGATCCACCCCTTTTTACGCAAATGGACTCACCCAGTATATATATACACTACTGCTACGGGAAGACCCGAGAGTAAGAGAGAGCAAGACCGAGGAGCCGAGTCCAGTCCAGAGTGACAGAGTAAAAGGTTGTAGGTAACCGGAAGAGTGAGGGGTGAGATAACCGCGTTGTAGGAGTCACAGTGAGCGAGCACATAGACTCGGAAAGACGTCATACAGCGATACTTCAATACCAAAGACTATATATATATATTTTGCTACTAACCCGTATTCCCGGAACTACTAACCAGCTTTACCAGTTTGTATTCTTACGTTAATACATTATTTTCATATATTTATTGCTGGCGTTTGTTATTTATTGGTACCGGATTTCAACCCGGAATCCACAACATTTTTAAGGAAAATGGAAACGGAAAGGACATTTTTTGCTTAAGATCAGAAAAAGACAGTTTAAATTTCTGAGACACATTCTGAGGAAAGAAGACTTGTAATATTTGACACTCACAGAATATATTGAGAAGAGAAAGAACAGGGAAAGGCTGTGAGTAAACTACCTAATGAGCTTGTGTAAATGGATGGTAGGACAAGAAATGAGAGAGGTAGTAAAACGACATTGTTAACAGCTACAAAGGATAGGAAATTGTGGAGAGCCATTATCGGCCACTTCGACACGGCACAAAAAAAAAAGAAATATTCCGACCCGTAATGGTTAAAATTACCGATAAACGACTTTAAACAGATGTTTAAGTCACTGGGCCTTACTCAATGTTGACAAAGTACTATTAAGTGTTCCTACTGCTTGGGAGATAACGTGATTATGGTGGGAGTAACTTGCTCAAGTACTTTCTCTCCAACACTCTTCTTCGTCAGATGTCGCGCCATGATAGAGATAAGACGTTTTTTGGCCGCGATATCAGTCCATACGACAAAGCGCAGAAATTTTGATTCATACCTTTCACCAAGAGCATTACAGCTAAATAAACATCATTTACCTCGGCTGGAATCTGGATTATTGCACTGCTATGTAATATCAATCCTCCTATATGGCTTTATTACTTGGTTGATTTGTTTAACGGTATATCAACACCTCCATGGGTTATTTAATGCCAAAATCTAAATAACTTGAACACAATTTTACCGCTTCAACTATATTTTCAACGCAGATAAAATGTATTGTTGGTTATTTTGCTATAAATTGTATAATTGTCGCGAGACTTTACGAATTTAAGCGCAGTACTAGATTGGCAGATAGGTCTCATTTGACTGTTGAAATTTCTACGTGTACCATACGCTCTATCGTAATTGTTTTCCACTGCACTTCTCGCATGTGGAACTTTCTTGCGGCTTCCTGTTTTCTGTCAACTACGATCTTTAAAAATTTAAATGCAATCTGGAGTATTGTACTGCTACTCACAGAATATATTAAGAACAAGAAGAACAGGGGTAGGCTGCGAGTAAACTACCTAATGAGCTTGTGTAAATGGATGGCAGAACAAGAAATGGGAGAGATAGTAAAACGACAAAGGATAGGAAGTTGTGGATACGGCATTTTTATTTAATAAAATAAATAGTTGGTCCTTTTTTTTAAATTGTATTTTTGGTAATTTTACTATAAAAATGTATTCTTGGTCATTTTTTTTCATATAAAAATCTATTGGTGGTATTTTTATTATAAAATCTCCAGTCTCCCGATCCTTGCTGCCGGGTGTAGTTTATCGTCATACCCAGGACTGTCCTATATGGCAGTGAATGCTGGGCTGTCTCTTTCCATGCATAGAAGAGATTAGAGATAACAGAAATATGGTTATCAGAGAAGGATGTTGGGAAAACTATGGGCGGAGTTCATAGTCATGGAGAATTTGACGCTAACATGTCAAATCGATGTCAGACGGTAATGACAGCAGGTCACCTGCCTGGCGAACTTGTGAGAATGGATGGCGGAACGGGGTTGAGCGAGATGGAAAAAAGTCAAACATTACTAAAACTTACAAGGAATAAGAAGTTGTGGAGAACCATGATCGCTCACTTCTTGAATGGACATGGCGCATAGATGAAGTCAATTTACCGCACTCACTTAACAAAGCAGTGGGACTGAAAATGGCGACGATGTCCAAAGAAACTGTATTATCGTCAGCTTACTTTTTTTTTTATAAGAGAAAGAAAACTCTTATTTTTAACTTCCCATGATTGAGAAAAGCTTCGAGAGTAAATCCTGAGGACAAATCCGAACCTGGTGTCCCTAAGACAGCCCGATGTTATGTTCAACTTCCTTCTGGCAACTCCTGCGATTAGGCCGGTGCCAAGCTATATTGGACGGACTCTCCCTTCCCCTTGGACAACATCGGCGGGGTGGAGAAGATAGGCGGTTGCCCATGCAGCACGTCTATCTAACATAAAACCCCGTCTATGCTTGCGTTCTGCAGAGGACACTCCAGCGTCGCCTCAATGCGACGGCAAAACACGGGAAGCAAATCTACTTATGGGAGTATTCCGAAGGTCCTTCTGTACGAGGAACTGACCACCGGCAGAAGGGCACTAGGACGACCTCATGTTTGCTACAAGAACGTCAGCAAGACATGAGGGCGATGGACATGGACATCGAAAAGTGGGAAGATGTCGCAATCTATCGCTCACAATGTTTAACACCGAGGGCTAAAGTGAGGCGAGAAGAAACGGAAGCTTACCGCCAGGGAGAAGTGTGCTCGAAGTAGAAAAAAAAACAACACGACTACCTCGGGGTAGACCGTCTTCGTATGCATTCGTTGCACTCGAGATTGTCATTGACGTGTCAGCCTTTACAGCCATAACAGAGTCTGCTCTGCCATCAGCAGCTGAGGCAAAACTCTTTGGGCGCAGATCCATGGTGTCTCGAGTATGAACGGATGCCATATCAAAACTTTTTTATTTTGTTTTTCCGCCTTCTCTTCGTTATCTGGGTTGTATATTTTTAACCTTTACAACTCTCCTTTGGCAGAGGCCACTTTGACGCTAAGTGGATTCTGTGGTTTGCGTGTAAGTTTGTAAACTAACACTAGCCCTGCTATAAGAAATTTAATATAATTATTTCGTTAAAAAAATGATTAAGTAAGCAGGCGATAAATCGCCGCCATCTTGAATTCTACTGTTTTTTCAAGTGTAATTAATCATTTA